AATAAAGAAATAAATCCCGTTTCGATTGTCCTTTAATTGGAAAAAACTCCTGTACCCCCGCGGAGGCGGAAAAAGGAGGTGTGACAGTTAGCATCATACCTGGCAATCCTAGGTACGGTTCCAGAGTGGTTACAAGCAGGGGCCAAAATACTTCGGAGAACTTTCAACTTCGAGGCTAGAGGGTGGTTGACCTTTGTGTGTAGTCGGCTCGACCCGACCACCCATGATCAGACTATTCCACTTGCCTGGGCGGTTCTTATTGCTTCTATTATGGTAGGCTATCCTATCAACGTGGGCAATGTGATGTCCCACACCATTTCTGCAGTGGGGGTTGAGCATGACCGGAACTACCCTTTTCCCAGCACTCTCACTATGTATTTCCGAGACTTGGAGGTGGAGAAGAGACCGTTTGACATCAAGGTCAAACTTGTGGCTCTGTTATCCTGGTACAGTTTGAAGGGGTCATACAACCCCAAGGACAAAAATTACAAGCCGCCTGCTTCTACCCCAGGTGGCCATCCTGAGGAGCCAGTTGTGGTAGAGTCTTCTGTTGAGCCCTCCACAGAGCCTTCCACCATGCCTGCTGCCACCACTGTTGATGATTTGCCTCCAAGACCCTCCTCTTCTACTAGCTCGAGTACTTCAGCTGGCCCGGGGGTTCCTTCTTCCCGGACTCATCCTTTCACGGCCCATCAGTTGAGCCGGACACTAGCCAGTTTGAACAATTGGATGTCAGCTGCGACATCCAAGTTGTCTACATTGTCTGCTACAATTGAGACCCACTCAACACCTTCCACTACTCAGATTCCTCAGTCCATTAAGGATACACTGAAAAAAGCTCCTGGACAATCAGAAGAAGATTATGAGGACTCAGGACGCCTTGGCTAAGGTAGTGGATTCACATGGCAAAGCTTTGACGGAGCTTGCCAAGGAGCACAAGAAGATGAGGAAGTCAAGGGCTTCCAAGGAGTCGGTGAAAGTGCTAAGGACTGATATGGACAAGCTATTGGCAGACTAGATGCCTTTAGACTTCCTATTTGGGGATCCAGCCCCAGCAGCAGCACCAGTGCCACAGCCACAGCATGAGCAGGAGTAGGCACCCAAGCCTCCAAGGAAGAAGAGGAAGCTCCCCAGTTCAGTTGGTGCAGTTATTAAGCTAGCAGACCCACAGGAGACCCCCTCCAGTGATGCACCTATCATCCAGCCGGTCGAGGAGCAGGTCCCACTCTCAGCAGCTGAGCAGCAGGAGATCGGGAACCAGTCTGAGGTTTCAGTACATACAGAGGACTTGGGGACCACTGATGAACCCATGAAAACGGACCAGGCCTAGGGAGCTCCTATATCCTTTACTTTGTTTTTGGTGCTTATTTGATAGTTGGCATTGAGGACAATGCCAGCTTTTATTCGTGGGGTGCGCCCTACTTTTATCTGGATGACTGTATATATAGATTCTTAGTTTATGTTTTTGTTGATTTTTTTTTATTTTGGGTTGTATATAACTTTACATTTCTGTATGTATTCATCCTCGTTGTATATTCTACTCCCCTATTGTACATATTCATTCTATTTTCTATTTTCGCAAAAAAAAAATCTATTTTAGCTTTGTAGTTAGGCTCGTATCCTCTTGTTTTGTTTTTGACGCTTCCAATAAGCCCTTTGTTTTCTTAATGCCACGGTTCTTTCCAAGGGTGGAGTATTGTGCGAACCGGGTGGCTCTTCCCAATGATAGATGGCGTGACATCCTTCTTAAGGGTTTGAGTCCGTTTGTTTGATTTTTCTTTTGTTTTTAATAGTTGTAGTTAAAGATACCTCAAACAAAGCTTCACTTGGGCCTAGCACATTTGCCTTTGATCCCATGGTCAAAGACATAGTTGTGTTCAGGATGGTGAAAGTCGTGGCTTTGAGACTCTTACGTTGACCAAACAATCATCATGTGCTCTTTTCGGATCATTGTGTGCTTGAATCGTAACTAAGGTCGTGGTGGGCCCTCGACTCGATGTCTTTAGCAATCCCCTAGCGTGTGTGGTGAGGAATCAAAATGTGAGTCCAAGTCCCGAGCCAATGGTCTAGAACTTGCCCTGAATGTTTGTTGAGGCGAAATCCTAGGTGAAATTTGACTTGAGAAGTGATTATAGGCTCTCCTTGATCCAAATGTTAAGTTGAACAATTCCATAGCCTACCAATGAGATGATCCCTAGTTAACCCTTTTGAGCCTTAAACCATTTTCTTTCAAGAACCAATTCTACAAGCCTATACCCGTTCTTAATGATTACCCTCTCTTGGCACCCAAATCTTCCCTTGAGTAATGGCAAATATCTAAGTTTGGGGGAGAGACAAGAAAGGAAGCAAAGGGGTAAAAAGGTACAAAAGCAAAAGAAAAGGAAGGCAATGAAAAAGCAATAAAAGAAAAAGATAAAAAGAAAGTCCAATGTGAACAAGAATAAAAAAGAGACTCAAGGAAAACAAAAGTGAAAAAGGTGTGTGGAAAAAGTAGAAAAAGGATAAATGTTTTGAATTGTATAAAAAAGAGTGACAATGTGTCTCTCTAACCCCTTGTAAAGAAGTGAAATACTCAAAAGAGTCAAGAGAGTTGTGCCAAAATAAATCAAAAGAAGTGCTTAAGGGAAGATTGAACCCACTTGAATAAAAATATGTCCTACCCTTACCTAAAAGCCTTCACAATGACTCCACAAAAGCCCTATTTGATTTCGAGTTGAAGGGAGCTTACATTAGTGGATACTTACATAAGGGGCAAGCATATGGTACTTAGAGTCGGACTTGTGACCTTCTTCTTGAGAGAGATGAGCGAAATTCCATTAACCTCGGTTTGTGTGTCAATACTTAAAAGGTGAGGTTTGCTTAGGGAGAGTTGAGAATGTGGGAGTTTGGGTTCCACAATGACCAAAGTAATTGAGAGAAGCTCTTTGATGAAATATGTCAACTCTTGATGCTCTTGTGTCACACTTGATCCATAGTTTTCAAAGTTTTAAATGTGTTAATGATGCATTCGTATTGAGAGCATTGTTAGTCCCAATTGATGCTTGTTGAGGTTAGTTTAGGATAACTGGAATTACTTGGATGTTCCTTTAAGGGGTGGGTCTTATTTTGTTTGCTTGAGGACAAGCAAAGGTTTAAGTTTGGGGGAGTTGATAAGTTAGGATTTTAACGTGTTTGTGCCTCTACTTGCCTATGCTTTGAATATAAATTGCTACAAAATAGTCCCAAAATACTCACAAGTTATGCTTGATTGCAGGTTTGATTGAAAAAAGTGACGAAATGTCAAAGATCATCTCAAAAAGGAGTGAAACCTGCTCAAGTATCAAAGACCAAGAGAATTGAAGAAGAAAGGGCCTAGTGTGGACCGCACAACAGTGACTGCGGCTGTACTAGGAGGTTCAGAGATATGACATATTCAGGCTTAAAGTCATGCGGCCGCGATAGGATGTTCGCGGTCCGCGGTGAAGCTTCGCGGCCGCACTCCTGCTTTGTGAGGTCCGCATTCGTAAGGGTCAGAGAGTTGGTCAAGGGACCAAAACCATGCCACACGGTTCACGTCCTGTTTGTGCTAACCGCGCCAGACCCTCTACGCGGTCGCGCTGCACTTTCACGTGGTCCGCGTTTTCCAGTTCAGAGAACTTAAAGTTGAAGTCAAAAGAGCCAGTGCGGCCGCGGTTGCTTTTGCGCGGCCCGCACTGACCCCGCATGGGTATTTTTGTCCAGTTTTTCCAACCCACTATAAATAGGTCATTTTACCATTTTTAGGTTAAGTTTTGTATTCAGAAACGCAGTTGAGCTCTTGAGACCGATATTGTAGCCATTTTTTGGCATTTTTGCTTCCCATTAACAATAGATTATTGTAGTTTCTTCTTAGTAATTAATTAATATGTTTAGTTCTCCATCTATTTCTTCAGTGTCTTCTTTAATTATGTGTAGCTAAACCCATTAGCTAGGGTTGTGGCTCAACCCTAGTGTGGGTAATTGATGGGTGTTGCCATCTAGGGTTGGATTGATATTGGGCTTTTGCTATTTGGGTTGATTTTATATTTTTATTCAAGAATTGATGGTTGCAAACACTGATTCAAGCTTAGTGGGTTTAACTCTTCTCGAAAGAGAGAGTTTATGACCCCAAAATTGACCCAACAAGGAATTGGGATGGACCCATGATAAATGGTAGTCATAATTAACGGGTTAAATCTCGAGAGAGTAATCACCCTACTTGAACCCTAGTTGTTTGGTCTCATTGGCCTACCCAATTGATCTCGAGAAAGTCAATTGGGCAAAATTACTCTCTTTACCGAGAGGCGTGAGAGTGGGTGCAATTGTGCAACGGTTACAGCATAATCCCCAAATATGTCAATCTATCCTTAGTAACATCTACCCGTCAATTAGCCACCTAGGTGATGCTACGACCATAATGCTCTTCTACCCATTAGTTACAACTTAGCAATATTCTCTTATCATAATTTAGCTTTAATCCTTAGTTTTATAATAGTAGTTATAAATACAAAAACTCAAGAAATGTTTGAAGTGACATTAGAAGCACAACCGCAACTCTAGGCTAGACAGAAAATAGAACTCCACTACTAGCTCCCTGTGGAAATTTGATCTCGGACCTCTATTCGGGTAAAAGCTATTGCGGCCTGCTCTTCCTACCATAGCGTAGTGTCGAGTCGACAGCGATCAGTACCCGACCTCGAGGACCTCCATCAAAGAGAAGTTAGGCTCCAAGAAATCAACAACACCATCGCAAGTCCCGAAGTGGTACCCGACCTCGAGGACCTCCATCAAAGAGAAGTTAGGCTCCAATAAGCCAACAACATCATCGCAAGTCCCGAGGTGGTACCCGACCTCGAGGACCTCCATCAAAGAGAAGTTAGGCTCCAATAAGCCAACAACATCATCGCAAGTCCCGAGGTGGTACCCGACCTCGAGGACCTCCATCAAAGAGAAGTTAGGCTCTAAGAAGCCAACGACATCATTGCAAGTCCTGAGGTGGTACCCGATCTCAAGGACCTCCATCAAAACGAAGTTAGGCTCCAAGAAGCTATTGGCATCATTACAAAACTCAAGAAGAAAATAAGCACTTGAACTCCACCCGTATGGGCTTGGCCCCGGAGTACCATCTGAATTCGGGTAAACCCTCTTCCGGGATCTATTTACAGTGCCTTAAGGCTATCTATGCTAAGTTCAAAGCAAGCTTCCAGGTGGTCCGGGTTTGAACTAACCTCCACTCGAGGACTGCTCTCGAAAGCTCAAAGGCAGTCCCTATCCTCGAGCCTCCGAGCAAATTTCCCCTCGACGATTACTGCAAGGTCTAAGTGATAAATCACGGTCTCATGGCTCGAGGCGTTACCTTTATTCAACTCAAAGCAAGGGTCCCGATGACCCGAGTTTATCTGTCCAATCGAGGCTTGATCTGAGGAACGACAAAGTGTTCCACGGGGAGCCATTTTAATCAATCAAAAGTCAGGAAAAAAGACTCATACCTAGGATTGATATTGGCACCAACCGGTAGAGTCATGCATTCGAAGTCTCCATAAATGTAAATGAAAGGGGATATAGCAAGCATCGAAGACGAAATTGAAGAAACATCTTTGTATTCATAAAAATGTGATTACAGAAGCCCACGAGGGGTCCTTACACATGATTACTAAAGCCCACAAGGGGTCATTACATATGATTACAAAAGCCCACTAAGGGTCCTTACACAGAAATAAAGAAGCAAAAAGGTACACATATAATAAAAGCCTAGAGCCTAGCCTACTCTCAAAGGTGCATCCTCGGCGGCAATATCTTCAAAATGCCATCTCCTCGGGAGTCTTACCCCGATCCTCCAGAACGACATCTTCAAAAGGGAAGATAAAGAAGAGGAAAGTGGTAGAGGAGAG